CCCTGAGGCTTCCCCTTCTCTGCACGCCCCTGAGGCAGGAGAGAGGAGAGGAGCTCCTGGAGCTAAGCTCCGAGTGCTGCGACCTCCCTGGGGAGTCCAGGAGCATTTCCCACTTCATGTGTGCAAGGAAATGCAACCATCGAGGATGGGGTCCAGCAGAGAGAGTTGGGGTGGGACCCCCAAAGCTGGAGGAAGCTTTCAGACCCTGAAGCTGTAGGACTGGGATTTATCTGCAGGCTCTGGCCATTGAAGGAGTGAATAAAAATTTAAAAAACTAAAAAAAAAAGATAACAGCAAAGCTCAGTCCCTGCACAGCCCCAGCTCTTCCTGGGATGCATGGATTGGAGAGAGCCCCTGCACTCTCAACAGCAAAGCGGGCAAACCTCAAGGAGGAGACAACACTGGGATGTTTGAGCTGAGGAGAGTGGGAAAAGCGGTGTCCCTTTTATTAGCAGAAAGTCTTTCTGTGCCAGTGACTGTCCCAGCCTGGCCCAGGGTGGGTTGTGGCTGGGAAGTTCTGTAAAAGGCAGCCTGTGGCCCCTGCCTGTGTTTTACTCCATGCTACAGCTCAGCCCCTGCTTCTGCAACCACCAGTGAGTTACAAACCTACAGCAATCTCCTGGCAGGCGGCTCCTGGTGTCACTCAGTGCCTGAAACCTGGGAGATGTGATGTGGGAAGTCCCCTGGGACGGGCACAGCAGCCCCAGAGCAGGGCTGGATGTGTCCTGCCATCCCGGCACAGCACCACACTGGCTGCCAGGACAGGCCCCCCCAGAACTAACACACAGCCAGGGTCTGCCTCTCCTCCTGCATCCCACCAAGCTGGTGGTAATTAAGGAACCAGCTAATTACAGAACTGAAAATGGGTGATGTGCTTTCACATGTGCCAGCATGAAGAATGTGGTGTCTGGGGATCTTGGGGACTTCCTCCAGCATTCCTATCCTCCGTGCTGCTATCACCTGAGCCAGCCAGACTGGCGATCAAGTGAGGATGCGCTGGGTTAGGGAGAGAGACAGAAGGGGACCATCCCCATCTTCCATACAGGCACTGCTGGGAGCAGAGAGGGTGAAGAGAGAGGATCAGAGGAGAGGATCCTCCTCATCCCCCTGCACTGCACAGGGACCCTGAGAAGCACCAGCAAATCAATTGTAGGACTAATTGTCCTGGAAAGCTCAAGTCCATCACTTTTGCCCTTTCTCCCACCTGCTCCTGGAGCATCTCTCTGTGCCCTCCACAGGACCTGCAGTCGTGTCTCTCCTTTTCCCATGCAGGTATTTGGCCATACGATACCCCCTGCACTCCAGGGAGCTGAGGACACCCAGGAACGCCCTCATGGCCATCTGCTTCATCTGGGGGCTTTCCTTCATCTTCTCAGGCCCTTACCTCAGCTACTACCAGGAGTTTCAGCTGGCCAACCTGACCGTCTGCCACCCGGTCTGGGAGATCTCCCAGCGCAAGGTCATGGACATCTGCACCTTCATCTTCAGCTACATTATCCCAGTGCTGATCCTCAGCCTCACTTACGTGCGGACTATTCGGTACCTGTGGAGTTCTGTGGACCCTCTCCAAGACATGTCAGAGTCCAAGAAGGCCAAGCGAAAGGTGACCAGGATGATCATCATTGTAGCCGTCTTGTTCTGCCTCTGTTGGCTGCCCCATCACCTGATCATCCTGTGTGTCTGGTTCGGGTACTTCCCCCTCAACCACGCTACGTACGTGCTCCGCATCCTCTCGCACCTCATCTCCTACGCCAACTCCTGCGTGAACCCCATCGTCTACGCCCTGGTCTCCAAACACTTCCGCAAGGGCTTCAAGAAGATCTTCATCTGCCTCTTGCACAAGAAGGCAGCCAACAAGGTGCACGTGGCCCAGGCGACGAACACCATCAGCACGCTGGAAGCAGAGCTCAGCGAGGTGACCCGCGTCGGCCAAGCCCTGCCCGGCTGCTTCTCCAGGCACTGCAAGGCCCCAGCCCAGCCCTGGGGGGAGGCAGAGCTGGTGGGCTATCAGCAGAAAGCAGATGGCTCCTTCATCACCTTCAACGTCACCTAGCAGAGCTTCGTCCCACCCCACGGCCTTGCAGTGTCTCAGGCCTGGGGCTGGGCTACGTTTTGGGTTGAAATCTGTTAAATCATACCCTTTTTCATTCAAATGCACCCAGATATCATAACTGCCAAAGCGATGCTGCTGACTACAGACTCAGACAAGCAACCGACCAAGGATCTAAGGGAAGCACTCAAAAACTTGCTGAGAGATCAACCCCCTAAATCAGGTCTTGTTCCTCTGTCACAGATGGATTTACACACTGTTGCACCTACACCTGGAGCTATTCAAAGCTCTGGTCCCTCCAACCAACAAAGCATCTGACTGGCGTTAGCAGGGTGCATTTTTAGGGACATTTAGGAAGTCTTCATTTGTTTGTGTCCCAGTTCAGGAGCTGTGTGCCCAAAGCCACGTGGGCACAAACCTGGCTCAGGTAAGAAAATCCAGGAGAGATGCATAGAAAGCAGGAGACAAACCTTCCTGGCACAGCCAGTGCTAGCTGGGCTTTCACATCTCCCTGGGGCTCAGGGGAGGGTTCCCTGAGGTGGAGCATGGCTGGAAGCAGCATCCGTAGCCCCAGTACAGGACAGCTGAGGGCACAGGGCACTGCCCATGGCTCATCCTTGCCGCTGTGGTGTGTGCGAGACCCTGCAGAGCACCCGGAGGTCAGCGAGGACCGGTGGGGTGGGAGGCTCCTTGCTGTGGTCCCGTGGGAGAGGTGGTGCTGCCATCGGAAGCAGAGCTGGACATCAGCGGGTCGGCGCTGGGGGAGGACTGGAATGCTCCCAGGCAGCACAGGCACGGCTCAGCCTCAACCCGGGCGAGGGGCTTGTGGAGAAGGGCAAAGGGGAGGATGGGCAGGGCTCTCCTGGGACCACGGTGTGGGGCTGGACGAGTGCTGGGGGGCCCCAGCCAGGGAAGCCTCAATAAAACCCTCCACCCTGCATCCCGTGTCCAGCTCCCTTCAGACAGCCCAGTCAGCAGCCCAGTCAGCAGCAGAGGAGAGAGCGGGTGCTGGGGGGGTGGTGGGACCTGCTGGATGGAGGGGCCCACAGGCAGCGGGGGGTGGAGGGTGCGGGTTACGTCCAAGCACGTCCGTCGAGCGGGGGCCGCTGTGAGGTGAGAAGTGGGGCTGCACTCCCCTCGGTATACCCGCACAGGAGAGCTGATGGGACTCACACAGCCCTGCTCTTAACGCTGCCGAGGCTCCGCAAGTGGCAGAGCCCTCCAGCAGCCCAGGGCTCTGCTGAAGACCTGCCCTTTCCTCTACCAGAAGAGCATCACTGCAACAGGATTAATTAACTCTTTTGAAAACCCTGCAGCAGAGCACAGGCAGAAGAGGTGGTGAAAACGCACAGGAGCTGGGATGAGCTGTGCTAAGTATCCCTGCAATCCTCCTAGATCCAGGGGATATACCCCAACAGCACCAACCACCCATGAAGATCAGGTCTCTCTAAATTGCCATGGCAGAGGCTGTAAGTCTGTCTGCACAGACTTCCCTCCCTGTGAATCCCCACAGCAGAGCTCCCCAGGACTGGGATGTGTTGCAGGAGGTTATTTCTACCTGGGACCCTGCTCTCCCCAGGGGTCTGCTCCAGGGTCTGGGTCCTGATGCAGCCATCCTCCCCACTGTGCTTCTCTCAGCAGAGCTCCCCAGGACTGGGATGTGTTGCAGGAGGTTATTTCTACCTGGGACCCTGTGCTCTCCCCAGGGGTCTGCTCCAGGGTCTGGGTCCTGATGCAGCCATCCTCCCCACTGTGCTTCTCTCCACCCATCCCCAGAGCTTGGCCTCTCTTCCCAGGAAGCTTTTGGCTGCAAAACATTTGTTTTCCCCTGCTGAGCATTATTATAACCAGACCTTCCTGTCCTCCTGCAGAAGGCTGTAAATCAGCCACTGCCTCATATCAATAACCGTTATATTTAGTCTAGCCCTGCTCACAGCGTAAGTCACAGAGAGCGAGAGTGTAAACAGCACCATTACTTCCATCTGCATTTATGTCCCCTGCTCCATCCTTCCCAGCCAGGGAAAACATCCAATCAGCCACACAAACACAGCAAGAAGCCTTACCTTCTCCTGCCCCTCACCTCTGCTCAGAGAGCTGCAGGATCTGCCTCTGAGGGATTCCCCCCACTGAGAGGATCAACCCCCTCTCCTGGAGAAAGTTATCACCTCGCTTTGGGGATGGAGATGTCCCACCACCTCTGCACTGTCCAAGGACAGGGGGGGCCTGTGCTGGGACAGCTTGGGGTGCAATGTCCCCATCCCTTTGTGCCATTACAGAGGAGACTTCAACCCCTCTTGCCCTTCTTCTTGCCCCTCCCCAAACCTGTTTGGCCATCACCCCCAGCTGTACCCCCATATCTCAACACAAGAAGCTGCAGGGCATCACGTTGCCAGCACTGGGGCCACACCACAGGAAGCTCCATGGAGTTGGTGCTCGCTTCCAAGCCCAGGTTGTCACGTAGGACTGAGTTCCCAGAAAGGACAAGAGTTGATTCCGAGTTCATCTTTTTATAGTGTTTACAAGAAAATAAAAATATCTGGCTCACAGATGGGCAAGGCAGCCAGCAAACCTCAGTCCATGCATCATGCCCCACAAGGAGCTCAAACTCCATACAGAACGAGTGAGCCTTTGCTTCAAGCCCTGTGGTGGGGGAAGGAACTGGGCTGGTACCTAGGTATCTCGTCTCATCTCACTGTCAGATGAGAGCTGGGGTGTGGGGGGAAGCAGCTGAGGAGGAACCCCCCGAGGCTCCTTTTGGGCTGTTGCTGCTCTTCCTACTGATGCTCACTGTGATCCAGCACACAGTGACCAGCCCCGGGGGACCCACAGAGAGCAGGGCCGGGTGGAGAGGGACCAACTGTGTCCCAAACTCCCCACCCAGCTCCAGGGAGGCTCCTGGTGCCACCCCTGAGCTGGCCATGAGAAACCCCCAGCACCAAGCTCTGCTGAGGCTGGGGGATGATCCTGAGCAGCAGAGCTGGGTCTCTGGGGACCCACTTCTCACAGCCACCTGGGATTCTTTGGCAGCAGAGTGGCCACCACAGAACAGCTGAAGAAGAGGGAGACAACTCTGATGGGTGGCTCTGACCCTGGGTGACAACATTCGGGCTGAACCCCACAGTCCCACTCTGGTGAAAGCAGGATCACAACACCCAGCAGGAGAAAAGTGCTAAATTACTGTGCATTTTGCAAACTCTGTTTGTTTCCTGGGTATTTTAGCACTGCGTGGAAAAGGAGGCTCAAAACAGCATTAGCAGCTTGGAGCTGTGACTATCAGCCAGAGGAGGGAAGAGGACAGGTCACCTCTTCAAAACAGCTCATCATCCAAACTACACTCTCACAACAACATCTCTGCCCACCGCTCCCTCTCGGCTCAGCTGTGCTGCAGGAGGCTGCTCAGTTTGGGTTTTTTTGAGGCACCCCAATGTTGCCATAATTCTGGCACTGTGAAAGCAGAGCCATGGAACATGGGTTATCTCACCCCACCACAAGGCTCATGTCCAGCCCTGGCAGAAACAGGTTTAGAAATAAATAATAATAATCATTTCAGTGGGAAAAGAGGTGGGGTTTGCAAATCTCAGGGGTGGTGGTGCAGGCTGTGGGGTGCTGGGCCAGCTTTGGGATCAAGCTGCCAACTGCTGCAGGTACAATGTGGCTGGAGCATCCCATGGCCCATCTGTCACTTGGATCCACCAGCAGCAGCCTGGATGCTGGGAGAAGGTGCAAAGCACAAATAACTGTATGCAAGCACAGACTAGCAGCCATGCAACATCCTGCCCACAGTGCTTCCTGCCCTAAACTGCATGAGCCATCTTCTGCACCACTGAACGCAGCCCTGGGTATCCTCCTAAGCCCACCAGTTGTGCATCCACCACCACACCCCATGGTCTGCTGGTATCTTCCCAAGCAAGTACAAGGCAACAGGGCAAAATGAGAAGAAAGCAAAACAATAATGAAGTAAAGTCTTTGCCAAAGCTTGGCAGAGCTTGTCCCCCAGAGGAGAAACTTGGGAATTGTAAAGACAGGAGAGACACACAAGTAGGGCTGAGATGCTGCAGTCAAGCAAACAGAATCAATGTCTGTATGGACATGCAAAAAAGCCCAGCAAAGAAAGAACAAGCCATTTATGAAGCATCACAAGGAATTATTTTGTGTGAACACAGAAAGCAGTTTGCAGAGACTTCCAGCATATCCACTAATTAGATTTAACACAACTCCCAGGAAAATTTACCTCACTGACTCATTGCTGCCAGGCTCCCTCTTGCTGGTAGGTGCCAGGCGGGTACCTACAGCCTTGGAAGCTGTGCTCTGGAGACACAGCAGGTCTCTGGGAAGTGAGACCCTGAGATGGTCTGTAGGGCAGAGCCAGGGAGGACATCAGTGCCCCCCACCCGCAGACAGACATTTCCCCATGTACCCTCGTGCTGGGGCTCAGCGGGGCCTGGGCACCGAAGATGCAGCTCTGCTTCCCTTCACCCCGGGCACCATCAACACTTCTGCTCACTCTTCAGCAGCACAACCGCAGAGGGTGCCGGTGGGCTGGGACGGGGCTCTGCACAGCACCTAGCCTGGGGGCTGCACCTCACTCCTGCCTCCAGCACCCCAAAACCCCTCTGATGCCCCACGGCTGCTCTCACCCCCGTGCAGGAACGGCAAGGCGCTTTGTGATTGTTACACGGCGAGGTCTGAGCTTTCATGGGTCTCTGCACTGTGATACATCCAGCCTGCCCTCCTCGTTTTATGGATGCTCACCCATCGATTGGCACTCATCTGCAGGCAGAGAGAGTGAAGCCCGGGCCACCTGCTGGATCATTACTATTTACAGGATGCTGCAGAAACAGAGAAAAACGCATCCTCCAGTTATCTGCCATCATCCCTGCTCGTCTGAGGATGAAACCATTGCCCTCTGACCTGGTCCGTGCCTTGATGAGCCCTTCAAGGGCAAGCACAAGACCCTGCTGGCAACACAAACCCACCGTGGGAAGAGACTGTCCCCAAACAATG